TGACTCATGGTTAGGAGGGTTCCAATTAAGCTGGCCCAGATTGAAATGATTAGGAGGGCAGCTGTGATTGTGCAAAGGATATAAAAAATGTTAGTGTGATATTAAGTCTTGTATTTTTCCATCCCTGGTCCTGCTCTTCAGTGCAACCTTCAGGCACATCATCTGTGAACATAATTGTTTCCTGACCTGGCTGCAGAAAAAAAAAAAAAAAAAAAATCTAAATGCAATAAACTCTGATGATATTCCCCAAATATTTTCAGATATTGAGTATAATCTGAACAACAAACTTCTACCTGGATGTCATGAAACCCTGTTCAAGTTGTTCAATTCTATGGCAAGGAAGTCTAGATGAAAAGGATTGGTAAAATTTCTCCCCCTGCAAGAAAACATTTCTCTCCATATGGTGGCATCTTGTTGACACAACATCTCACACTGGTCCTCTGATCCTTACATCATCATAGTTGAAAAGCTGCTTAGCCTGGGTTGATCATTCATCTAACAAATTCAGCAGGCATGTCTCATAGACTTGAGCAAGGGAAGATCACCACAACTCCTGCACATACAGATTGCAGGAGCATTGACCTTTCCTGTCCTGCCAAGCACTGGACAAAGCCAGAGTGCTGCAACGTGTGGGGGAGCTACAGATAAATTCAGTCCTAATAATGCTAATATAGGTACTGCTGATAACTGGGGCAGCAGGGATTTCAATGCAAGCCAATTGCTCAGGCACTTCCCCCTCTTCTCAGAAGTGTTTGGTTTGCATCCCTTACCCTAAAACTAATTCAGATATGTCTGCATGAGCTGCAGTTTTATCTCTGTGATGCATCATAGGACAGAGCACTAAGTAGTTATATTCATTTAAAGTATAGATGGAGGAACTGATGTAAGCAAAACTGCATAATTCTCAAGCAAAATACAACTTACATCTAAAAATCCAAAAGTAGTCATGAATAAGATGGGCAGAGTAAACCCCCCCCCCCTTTCTTTTTCCCCCCATTCTCTAATGCCCATGCACACACCCACAATCAGATGGGATATATAGGATAGCTCATTACAGACTCATTGCGGATGATAGTTTCTTATCAAAGTGCCACTGACAATGTTTTTGAAACTTTTAATTTTCTGTAAGAGACTGCTAAGCCTTTAAGGTATGACACCTTAAACAGTTTTTTTTTTTTTTTTTTTTTTTTTTTTTTTTTTGCAAGATCCTATGAGAAATTTCCTGTGCGTCTAACCACAGGATCATTTCTCATTGTGCACTGCCATGAAGATAGCACCTGTCTTTAGCCCTGCACTCTGATATCTCCTCGAGGATCTATCCAAATTCAAGGTAAGGATCTTTAAATTCTGGATATTTAATATTTATACACTTGCTGTGTTTGTGGCAGCAGTGTAGAGTCTTTCTAAAGAGAAGACAGATTCTTCCTGGGGACCAGCTGCAAATATATCTCTATCTGAGGACAAAATATATGCATGCAACCTAATTTTGCCTAACACAGAGAAGTTACTTTGATCAATGCAGACCTGCTGCTGAGATGAGTGGAAAAGTGTCAACAACCCAGGAAAGATCTAAGGTCTATCAATTGACATGCCACCATAACCCATGCAAAATCCAGCAAAGAGGGGACAAGGAAGTTTTTTTTCAGCAATAACAATGATGACAACAATGATTTTTTTTTTTTTTTTGGAAGAACTAGAACTAAAAATTCAACCTGCATAAAAAAGGAGGAAGTAATTGAAAATCTTAGTAGCTGGCAACAGTTTAAATTCATTGGCTCCATAATTATGTATTGATTTTCTCATATTCAAATCCCTATATTACCTTTTATTTCTCCCAATCAACTGAACTGCATTTACTGTTCGGTTTTCAAAAATTAAAAATAATAATTACCCTGGGACTATATTATACCTGAGTATCCTCAGTTAAGCACAGAACTGTAATTGCAACTTTAGAATGATGATCTACCAAGATGAAATCCTGCAGGTCAGAACTGCCACTGAAAGGCAGAGAGACAGGTTTGTGTTCATTTATTTTGTTTTATTCTTAAAACTTCCGAGACCAGATCTGGGCTGGGAGAGAGAGAAGCCTTCCTTAGACAGAGATCTAGAAATGAAACTTGTTTGTGAAAATTATATTGACCTTTTCTCTAATTTTAATAACAAATGTAGTTGCAGAAGCCACCACCACATTATAGCCTTTGGGAGACATCTCTATGCTAGCCAGACATACATTGTCCTTGTTTCTTTGAGCTCAGCAGAGTCTAAGGGCTTGCAAGTTGAAAAGAGTCTCTAGACGTCTCATTTGCAACACGCTTAGAAAACTTTGTCAAGCTTTTCTGTGTCCTTAGCAATGAAGAGAAGTTGAGAATATCTGGGCTACCTTTTCATAGCAATCTGGAGTTTCTGGACTAGGCATTCTTTAGGAAACAGGGAGAAAAAAAGAAAGCTATAATTTTGAGAGGTGTTTTTTTCACTTCAAGTCAAATTTGCTCTTTCCTCATGAAAGTGAAACTGGCACAGGATTAACACAAGCACCTAGTTGAGGCCAGTAGAAGTACTGTTGACTTCTCCTAATCTCATGGAAAGCCAAAGTCTCTGAGGCTACAACATCAGCCTCTGCTGCATTTATTCATTTATTCATTTATTTGTTTGTGAATATCCACTTCCAAGTAAGATAGTGTAAATAGATGTAATGAAGAAAAAAAAAACACATTTTTTTTTGTTTCAACTCCAAATAAATCCAATGAAAAAAGAAGAGTAGAGAAAATTGTGTATTTTACATAAAAACAGTTAAATAAAAACAGAAAATGGGAAAATTTCAGCAGCCTTAAGTCAGACACTGAAACTTGAAGACAAAGTCCTCTGTAGGTGAGCAGATGAGCTTCATTGACAGTTATATCATGCAGGCTGACTTATATCAGCTGGGATTCTTGGCTGAGTGCAGGAATCTTTCTGATGCAATAATTAACTTGATTTCCAGAAGAGGGGAGCCCTGGTGCAGTTGATTTACAAGAGGACATTTGACATAGGGCCAGCACAAATATATTGCTGTTGCTGAGCATTTATTGTGTGGCTTGACTCTGTTCATAAGTTGCAGTACTTGTAGTCCTGAATTTTTAGGCAGAAACATGACAAATTTCTGAAGTCTGACTACCTATTTGCAACATGCATTGTAAAATTTTGATGACAAATGATATTTCAATTGAAGTAATTTCATGACTTCTTGCAGTTCAGCTGAACAACCTCAGTGTTGTACAATTAACATGTGTTTCTTGCACTCAATATTACCCAGGTTTCACAGTGGGGGTGTTTGGTGGCACCAAGACCAGAGTTACCTTTTTACCTCATGAAATTAAAACTAGCTGCTTTTCTTTCACCAATGAGAGTTTTGCCAGCATCCACTAGCAGAAGCACTTTTCCAGCAGTGTCCCTTTTGTGAATTTTAAGTCCACCATCTAGAAATCTCACCTAGGGAAGTGGTGATTGATTTAGAAATGGAAGATAAGTGTATCTGCAGAAAATAGCCTGACAAGATGGACGGGCCTACATGCTGGGTCAGGTGCCCTCTCCAATATGATTGACAAGGTTGTGTTGTCTGATCCTGTGCCAACCCATCTTTCTCTTTTGACAGGAGACAGCTCTGTGGGTAAGGACAGAGCCTTAGTTCAGTAGGTTTCCTATACAGCAGGGTACTGAAAACAAGGACTTCAGATTATGGCCAGAGACTTCAACAGAAAACCGGAAGACTACCATTTGCACTAGATGGGAAAGGGATTTTTGCATGCAAAATACACGTTTTAACGTGTCCTAAACTCATCATTTATCACAAAGAATCACAAAGGCTGGAAAAGACCTCCAAGATCATCTGGCCCAACTGTTCCCCTACCACCAATGTCACCCACAAAGCCATGTCCCTAAGCACCATGTCCAGCCTTTCCTTGAACACCCCCAGGGACAGTGACTCCACCACCTCCCTGGGCAAACTGTCCCAATGCCTGACCGCTCTTTCTGAAAAGAAATTTCTCCCCTGGTGCAACTTGAGGCCATTCCCTCTAGCCCTATCACTAGTTACTGTGAGAAGAGGCTGACTCCTGGCTCCCCACCCCTTCCTTTCAGGCAGTTGCAGAGAGCAATAAGGTGTGCCCTGAGCCTCCCCTTCTCCAGACCAAACAACCCCAGTTCCTTCAGCTGCTCCTCACAGGACTTACGCTCCAGGCCCTTCATCAGCTTCATAGCCCTTCTCTGGATATGCTCCAAGGCCTTGATGTCCTTCTTGTACTGAGGGGCCCAAAGCTGAACATAGCAAATTTACTCAGGGGCCTGTGATCTGCTTGTGCACCTTCATTATCAAAAGCAAGAAAAGTGACAGCACGGAGGCAGGGGCAAAGGGACAGCACTGAGCACCATGGGCACAGGTTCCCTTGGGCTTCCCAGAGCTGGTCAGAGAAAAACTGAGGAAACAATGTACCAACACTACTGCTGAGGACAGAGTAGCTGAATACTACCAGGATTGTGGAAACGAGGGGAGAAGCTGAGACATAACTTGGTGAGAAAGGAGGTGTGGACATGAGTGGGTGGTGAAGAAGGAAATAGGTCATGTCCTATAGAGGCAATTATCTACTCAGCTCTGTTTGCAAAACTTAAACATTTGGTTGCATTTAGCATAGCTTCGGGGCAGTTGTAAATTGTTTATCTGCTGATAGTCTGTGAAGGTCCATATGTCAGCTCAGGGCTGCCAACTCCCTCACCCCCCTTTCCCCAGTCTCTAAGATGCCCTGTACACCTCGTGAGGTGCCAATTCCTGGTGCTGCCCAATGTCTTATCTCCATGTTTGCTCTTAAAATAAATAAATAAAAAGATAAAAAATGACAACACCAAAACAAAAAGCCTGTACATTTCCGCTAAAACTAAATGTGAGGGAAAAGATACCTGACAAAATCATCCTGTAATGTGCATTAATACTGAATATCTTTCCATTAAAGAAAGGGAAAATTCTAATATTAAAGACGAATATATTTTATTGAAGAATCCAGTCTTTCAAAGACATAAGTATTTGGTATAGAATTTCAAGCTCAGTAAAAGGTTTTTATACAAATATGGTCATGGTATAATCTTGAAAAATATTAACAGTTTTCAGCAACAAGGGAGCTTTATGAGGGAGGAAAAAACAATATTGACTCATGGTGTTTATTTGTAGCATAGTAAAATTGCCCACACCTGAGAAATTTCAGTAATTAAACACCTAATGCTAAATTAATCCAAAGAAAGGTTAAGCAAATTCTACAACTTAAAAGGGAGATAGAAAAGCTAATCACCATGGTCTTAAAAAATAAGAAAAAAGAAAAGAACAAACATTATGTTTAATTAGAGTGCAAATGGACATAAATAACATTTGGAAAAAATGTCCTTCATCTGACCCTGCAGCACTTGCTTAATTTAGTCCTTTTCGTATTCTCCCTGCAGTGATTCTCAGCTGCTCACAACTGCATTGTTCGCAATGGTCCAGTCACCCAGCTCCCACCCTGGAGCTATAATGACCCATTTTAGAACCCCTTCCCCAAACAGTACAAAAATCAAACCTTTTGATACCCATAATTGGAAAATTATTTATTGGTATTTTCATTGCAGTTACTATGAGCTATGAGCATAGATGCCTTGGAGTGGCTAATCTGACACGTCTTTAGACACATGCTCACAGGTATGTTTTCTACTCATCCTTGGCTATTCACCAGCTCTGTTAGCTGCTGTTGGATGTAGGCAAGGGCCCTCATCCTAGAACAACTATCTGAGCAAGATGAATTGCAGTACTTATTTCTCTCCTTTGACTACGAGCAGAAGGGGAGCTATTTAATATCTGATTTTTTGTGTGCCTGAGCTAGGACAGATGAATTCCACTACTTCCTTTTTCTTGTGTGGTTGTGCATTTCCATAATACATTGGCTACAGACATAACATGGGGAAGACTAATTTCCTGAAAAAAATACTGTTATCTTTCTCATTAGACTCTTAAATACTTATACTGCCTGTATTGCTATTGAGCTTGATATTTTATTTTTAAAAAGCATTTTTTTTTCTTTTAAGGAACTATTTAGTTACACTGAGCCTTTTTACAGATGCTGAAGAAATACCTGATTTAAGACTCTCTGTCTCCTTTTAATATTACAATATCTCCTTATCTCAGTCCTGACTCAGGCAAAGGCTTATGTACATATCTTTAAATACATCCTGATGGCTTCACTGAAGCCAATGGGATTATTCACAATGTTTCTGGCTTGGCAGTTGCATCTGTTTTTTCAGGAATGGGGACTCAGTCTCTCTTCCTGGTGTGCATAGGTGTTCCTCACCAGATGCAGCCCAAGGACATGTATAGCATGCTTCTCCACTTCTGTTGCATGCATGTCATCATTCACATTTAATTTAATTAAAAACCAGCAGATGATACCATAGTAAGTTTTACACTGGGCACAAAGCCAGTTTTTCTTTTTATTGGTAAAGCTGGGTTTAATTTCATCAAGCAATTCCTCCCTCATCCATAACAGAGGCACATCCAGCACTTCTCCAGAGTATCACTTGAAAGAAATAATGAATGACATTAAATGAAAGTTTCATTTTTTCTTTTAAAAATGAACTTTAACATAATAAAATACTGTAGTCTCATTCTGAGTCAAATATCTTGTTACTTTTTTTTTCCAGGAGCAATGCTCAGCAAGGCTTTGTTCTTGCCTGAGTGTTGTATGACTGTAACAAATCACTAAAATGTCCCTGAGATGTCTCACATCAGGGAAATTGAAACCCTGAAAAATATATGTCCTTGGCACGGTCTTCCTATATATTGTGAAATTGCTACTATAATTGCAGGATTTAGTATGTTATGGGAAATGGGCCTTTTCTTTTAAGGCCTTTTTTTTTTTTTTTTTTTTTTTTCCTCTGTACAACTCATATTTAACTTGAAGGAGAGATAAGTGCATCCTTATTTAGCTCAGTACTTAAACACATGCTTAAATCTAAAGATGTCCCAGTCCATGAGACTTAAGAATTTGATTAAATGAAGTCATTTACTTGAGTGCTTTGCCAGATTAAGATCTTCAGAAGTAAAATACCAGTATGAATACAGGCTGCATCAGGGTCTAAAGCTATAACTTTCCAGTAAAGCAAGCATTGACAGGGGATGGGTGCTCTCTGGCCCTGAAGGAGGCTGGCATGGTCAGTTAATGTCAATACTATTGAACAGTCCTATATTCTTCAAAATGGGTAACTGCAAATAAACCGCCTGGTGGGAATGGTTCCTGGAACATGCCAGCATCCAGATTGTGCCTGGAAATTTCTGGGGAGGGAAAGTAGTTTTCCAGGCCAAAGCTGTGCCAGGATCTTCCCTAGAGACTTAATAGTTTTGAAGATTAATTCCAGTCCCTGTGTCATGTCATTACCTGGAATCACCTCCAAAGGCAATTGCCTTGGTCTTAAGAGGTTGGGCCCTAATTTCTGTACTTCCATTGGCTGTATCATACCCACTATGATCAAGTTACTGGTCAGTAGCAGTTTGTTTTTATACATGTGGATCTTTGAGGTAGTCAGAAGAGAACAAGTTCTTCTTCAGGCCCAGCTGTTGCCACTGTTTCTAGCTGTTTTCATAACCAGATGATACTTTTCTGAAACTCTCACAGGAACAGGTGACTTTGTCACTCTTTGTTTTTCTACCTAATGATGGAAAGTTGATTTGGCAGCAGAACTAAATCTTGCAAATCTTGCAACCACCTCTTTTTTTTTTTTTTTTTGTCTAGAGACAAAACAAGATCACACATCTCACAAATCCTACATACTTGGTATTTCCAGGTGTACACACTGAGAATAAGAGCCTGTCTCTGAAGTGGTACATGTTAACATTGCTGCTGCCAGATGCTGCAACTCCATTGGCATGGAGCTGAAACCAATGGGGCTTCCTCCAAAAGAAAGTCTACTTCAGACGAACAGGATATTTTTGTAGATCAAGATTTATCCTCACTGCAATATGTGAAAAATCTTCAGTCCATATCAATGAGAGGAAATAAGATCAAAGACATCTAGTGCCTGAATTACAATAGAAACAAAAGAAAAAAAAATGTTCTGGACCAAGATTTCTCTATTTGTGGAGACTTCTACACTTCACACAATTGACATTCCTATTCCTTCCTTGGAATATTCCTTGATATTCCTTCCTTGATATTCCTTCCTTGTAAAAAAATTTCCATCCATGACTGAATGTAAATTCTTTCATGATATGTTCTCAAGTGGTTTATTGAAACAAAAATAATGCTCTTTGTTCTTTACAAAGGAACTCAGTGCAACATCCAACATACAGCTGAGAGATGCCAAAGCCCAGAATGAGAAGCATGTTTACAGCAGAGAGCTGTCACACTACTTTGTCCTGGAATATATCCCTGCTCTGGCAGAAGCCATGCTAATCTTGTCAGGAATTTAGTACATAAACACGGTAGGCTCTGATGTGTGTTTACGAGAACTACCCATGTGATATTGCCAAAGTAGTGGTGTGGCAAGCAATGGTGACACCGTTATTAATCTGTATTAGAAATACTGCCCAGAATATCCAGCAGGCTGATGCAGAGGAGATGAAGTTAAGCAGTACAATGTTGAAGTACCATTAATTTTTCTCTAGTTAAGGCTGTATCAGCATTTCCACTAGAAATACTTGCTTCCAGAGGCTTGTATAATTCAGCCTGGAAAATGTGCTCTGAGCAGAAACTTGGCACAAAATGTGCCTAGCAGGGACAGTATTTTCTTTTCTAGGGCACGAAGAAATATCCATTTATTTTTCTTTCTGAGATAGAAATACACTTCTAAGATAAAGGAATGCTAAAAAAAAAAAAAAAAAAAAAAAAGTAATGCCTCCTGTAAAAAGAACACAAATAATACAATTTCATGAGATAGAAAGTGCAGAAAAAATTAAGCCTAATTATTTTCCGAGTTTTCTTACAGAAAATTTTCTGTCTGATGAAAGTTTTGAGTGCTGTTATAAATTAGCTACTTCTGTACCAGACTCTGCACTTTGATGCATCCAAGCATCTCCAATTTATTTCAACAAGGTTATGCTCTCAGAGTTTAAAAAAAAAAAAAAAAAAAAAAAAAAAGAGGAAAATTTTGAAGGGCTTGAGAGCTCACATGGAAGATTAAAGTACAAAATAAGCTGCAAAGGAAAGGCAGCCTCAGGGAGTGGGAAAGAGAAACTTTACTTTCTCTAATGAGGAAGCAGGAAGAAAACATGAGTAGTGGTACGGGTATGTTGGTATGACAGAGAGGAGACAAAGAATCCAAGGAAAGATGTAGTTTGGAACTGTTTTGTCCTTCTTTGTTTTCAGTAAGATTTTGTCTGGGGGTCAGGGCAAGGAGGTCAGATCCCTGTTTGTGCTGAAAAATAACAATCCACATCAACTTTGTGGATAAGCAACACTGCACACAGCTATAGGTAGGATGAACATCTAAGTTTCACATTGGATCATTTGCTTTTAAGCCATGAAGGAGGTCAAAACATGTGGCTAAAAGAAAGCCTTGTGGATTAAGATGAAAATCTTCCCCAAAACTTCCCAACTGATGTGTCAGAAGAAGAAGTGCACCTCTTCTCAGACATGTGGGATTTTGTTAGGGGCTCTGCAGTGGGAAGTGGGGATCTCTCAAAGAACACCTCTAAAAAAGCTCTGAAAATGTCATGGTGTGAGGTGTTTGCCTGTGTGCTGCTGTGATGACAAATTCCAGATTACTCCTGGAGAAACGTAGGAACTCTGCCAAGCAGGTACCTCTAGGAGACTGTGGTGCTACTGAAGAAGGAAGAAAACAGACAATGAGGGCATGGCCTCATTGAGGGCATGGCCCTCATTGTCTGTTGTGCTCTTGCAACATGATGTGCATCTTCCAGTTCTCATTCACAACTGTATCATGTAAGGGAGCAGCTTTGAATATTCTTCCCAAGGGGTTGTGAAACCAAAGATGTGATCCTTTCTTTGGTGCAAGTGGAAAACAGGTTATAGAGAGGCTCACTCACTTGGTTTATGATTTTTCTGTATGCAAGTTTATGGTGAAAAGAAACGTTCTGCGTGATGGATGAGCTTCTTTCCATATTCAGTCTCCTTCCCAGTTCAAATGTCTTCTTGTTTGAGTAAGATTGTATAGGCCAAGAATCAGTTTGACTGTCTATAATTTGATTACATTATCCTCCACACAACATACTTCACTTGGTTTCCACTTCACTTTAACCTGGAGATTTCCATCAAAGTAACATACTTCTGAGACAGTCTTAACATCATTTTTTATTTAGAGCTTTGCTGAAGGGTACACTGCCTCTCTGTGAAGTATTCCTTTTCCCTAACATGTCTCTTGTTCACTGATTGCCTAACTTTGCTTTTTAATATTTCCTAGGTCTTCAAATGAGAGCTTGAGGTACTCAAAAAAACTAACATTGCAATGAAAAACAAGTTATTAAAGTCTATAATTACAAAAAATATTAATCTAAGAGATTTAGCATGGTGCTTCCTTAAGGACAATAAGCCAAGTTCTTGTCATAGTGAAATATGAAATAACTCCATTGAAATAAATCTTAATTATGCTTGAGTCACCACTCAGTGTGACTTAATTAAGAGCAGAGCAGTGAGAGCCTTTTAGGTAAAAAAAAAAAAAAACGCTGATTATACAACTACTTTACTTCATATTTCTTCTTTCACCCTAGTTCCTTTCTTTCCCACTGAAGAAAATTTAGAAACTAGAGTTGCTCAGCTGAACTCAGATAGATATTAACGTATGTCAGGTTACATCCTACATAGGAAGTTTTTGAGGTAAAAGGCTGAGGATGATAGTCCTGAAGGTAATCTCTACATTATACATGCAAGGTGCCATGCATTCATACCTATCTTGGCCATAAAAAGTATGTTGATTTGTTAGGCAATAAATTCATGAAACTTCAGGTACTGGACTACAGAGGTAAAACCCTAATTCTAACAAAAAAAGACAGGAGTAAGTTACAGTTAAAACAGCCAGTATGGAAAAGTGTAATGGAAGAAATTACAGGTCACCTCCACTCCAGCCTCCTGAATGCAGCATGCAACAATGGCTATATAGTATAGACAGATACATTATTAACAAGCATATAAACAATGAAGAGGTTCGTTTGTCATGGTTTCACTTCTTGCTGGATAGAAAACATGCAAAGCCATATATATCATGGCAGTAAACCTGTTGACTTCAACAGAGTTATCTCAACAGTGAACTTAAAATAACAGTGAGGGAATGAAACCGAAAAAGTAGGAAAACCACAGAGAACTCTTGTCAGCTTATGTAGAATATATATATATAAACAGACATTAAAGGAAGATGTACACCATCCCAGGGAACTTTTTAAACTGGTTTAAAAAAAAAAAAAAAGTATAATGAAAATCCAATATGCAGCATAGATGAGACTGTCAAATTGTTTTGGTGTGTGGGCTATGTCCTATGTTCACACATACATATGTAGATCCAGCTGAGCTGAACAGGTGCCATGAGGCTGCAGAAATGGGTCAAAATTATTGAAATATATTGAAAGCAAAACAAGCAAAAAATAGGAGAAGACATTAAAAAATATGGACTACCCTTTCTCAAATTGTTTTGGTGTGGCTGAATTATAGAAGAAAATAATCACTTTTTTAGCTTGAGAAGAAGTTTTCCTTGGTCCACGGAGACTGACATATCTGCAGAAGTAACAGCTGCAATCGTCTTTCCTGGTAGGTCTGGAAAATGGTTGGTAAGTAAAGTAACAAAACTACATCCATGGAAGATCTGTTTGTTTACGTGTTTTTTTTTTTTTTCTCCATTCCTGTGTTGACATCGAAATAAAAAACTCCTAGTCCCAGAGTACATTCTGTACATTTTGTGTCTCCTAGTGCACTGTATGGTACTGAGAGAGAAACTGGTTTGACATCTCATTATACTCTAGCTCATTTGTGTGAGCCCACCCTCAATATTAACATCTCCTGATTTCTTAGCTCACTATTCTCCCTGGCAATTTTATAAGCTCTGTTCTGCATAAAGGCTTCATAAGCCAAACATAAATTTTGAGCTGAGTTACACCAGGGAATTATCCCTAATAGACTCTTGGAAGGCAATTTTCTAAGGCTTTTTTCTTTTTTCTTTCACTTGATATTAGGACATTTTAGGTGGGGTTAATCTCACCAAACTTAGATGTGTTGGCATGGCTGATATCTGTGTCTGAATTGCTTTGAGCTTCCTTTACCACCAATGGTCAGAAACAGGCATTTTAAAGGTGTGATTCATTTACTCCTAACGAACAGATGTAAAAAAGACCAGAGGTATCTGTCCCCCTCTTATGTCCATAAAGGAAGCTTAGATATTAATAGCTACATTGTCAACATCCACAGTTAGATGAGGTGAATCCCTGCTTTGATGGCTTTGGAAAATGTTACTTTCTTCAAAACAATGCATGACAGAGTTCCCTGGGATACATCTCTGTGGTACAAGAGAAGACCAATAACTTCCACTGTGACACACAGAGCAGGTGGGAAAAAGGACACCTTCAGAAGTGATACAAAGGGGTCACAGTTGTGCTATGACTATCCAGTATTGTATGGACAGTGGAGGAAACGTAAGAAAAGGTATGGAAGCCTTGACATTCAGAACCAACTGTTCTAAAAAGGTGGCTATTGCACAATGTCTTTGAGATACAGATCAAAGTCAGTAAATACTTCCCAACTAGAGACACATATGAGCCATAACCCAACATTAAAACATCCCCACTCCTAAATCTTACCAAACTATTTAGACCTCAGTTTTGCAGTTGACCCTTGAATATCTTGGGTCAAAACAATAACCTTGATCTAGATACACCTGAAGTTTAGATCTGGATTCAAACCTTGAAAGCTTTGCCTATCTAGAAAGTTTACCTTTCTCTAAAACTTGTTGCACATAAAATGTCCCTTGAACAATCAAGAGCTTTGACCACTCCTATAACACAGAGGTCATTTTTTGGCAAATGGTAATGGCAAAGTACAGAAAGGACAGAGAAGAGGAAAAACTGCATATCTTGAAAACAGAAGCAGTTAATGAACATTAGAACTGACATTCACATGGCTTTTTGTGCTGCAGGTGAATTTTGTCTGGCTCTCCCTAACCATGAAGCAGTAGAAAGAGGTGGGAGATGTCACAGAACAAAGAATCAACTTCTTGCAGAGATTTTTTTAGTGAAACATATGTACATACCCTCGTCAGCAAACTCTGCATGTCTGAGACTCAGTTAACCAGCCACAAATAAACATTTGCTTCCAGATGTTTTGTAAAGGTACCCACAAGTAATACAAAGTAGATATAAACACTCCATCTAGTGATATCTTTACATAGAGTCCTCATGGATACTATATATTCCGGAAGACATTGCTCATGTAGGTGATGCTATACCATATTCCAGAGAGTAGAAAGCAAGCCCTTTTAAAATACTGAAAAGGGAGATGGACATGGCGAGCTCCAGCGCTGAACTGGGCCAAGAGCAAACTGAAATGGCTAAATTGGTTTTCATCCCTTCTCTTGGGTTACTATGCTGTATAGCAGAGAAAGTCATTCATAGTTCTTTACAGTACAATTTCTAGCGTCACATAGTAACTGTGGATTTTCTGCACTCTTCTGTGAAATTTCAACTGCCAGAACAAAGCTTTATGTTGCAGACAATCAACACTCAGATATTTAGGAACAATAGTAATAAAGACATTTTGCCCTCCCCTCCCCTTCCCACAGGGGACTGATCTTTTTACAGCTAGGGGTTTCTTTAGCCCCATGCAAACTTGTTATTTTGTTTGTTTGTTTTTAATGTCGCAAGTATTTGACTGATGTTTTGCTTAAGGAAGGGGAAAATCCCACTTCCTGCAGCATATTGCAGGGACCAGCAAACATATCCCTTCGACTGTTGGACCAAATACATAATAATAATAATACTGTGCGGGTGCTCCAGAGCTGACTCAGCTGTAACACGATCACATTATGTCTGTGATATGCAATCCATCATTACATTTAAAGCGCCTGCTTGATTAATATTCAGTATTTAATGTCAACACTGATAAATTAGGATTCAAAAGTGTTACACTGCAGGAACTGCAAATAGTGCTGCAGTGGTAATGGCCTGGGTTAGTTTCATGGGATCTGCTAGTTCAAGGGGAATTTCACAATTCAGAAATGCCAAAATGTAGGTATGGTGATAGCAACCAGCTGTGGCTTCTTGGGGTAAATGGCATATGTCAGTTTTAAAGACACTAAATATTAAATTTTCAAACGGCCAATGGTAATTTCTTCTCTTATATAAACAATACCTCTCTCCCTTGGCAGTGCAGCTTTGCCATCTAAATTCAGACTAACTTGAACTGTGGTGTTGTAGATATACTGAAATTGGGAAGTACTTTGGCTTAGATTGATTTAAACATCAACTTCCCGTGTGCATAGGTTTTATCTTAAACAACTTGCTCAAGAAAATAAGAAAAAAATGCCATGGCATTTTAAAATCTCTCTTGGTTTTGTTCCCTTTTCTCAACTGCAATGTTTTGTTTGTTTTATTGTGGACAATTTTGTCAAAGTATTCTGTCTTTTTTCACTACTGTTTACTTAGTAGTAACTTTTCTTTTCAACTTCGCTTCAGTCTTGATTATGACAGATCAGGTAATTCCCATTAGAGCTACAGTTTGAGATTCAGGAACATTTAATGGCCAATAGACTTTTCCCTGGTGGAGAATGAGGATTCAAAGGAAATATTTGTGGTTATTTTTACTTTCGTTATTTTTGTTAAAAAAAGTTTGCACCTTGATGTGTCATGAGTACCCCTTCTTGATCTTCCTTTGCCTTGTCAGACCTGGCCAGCACAAGCAGCTGAGATCTTTGCTCTATTTTCCCTGCATCTCTGTGCAACACTTTTTTAAAAAGAGGAAATATTATTTTTTTTCTGAGCCTTTCAGACTGCTGTCACATGATCAGGATTCTCCTGAATTTCTATGCATTCGATCTCTTCTCGTTCCTTTCTTTTGGCTCGTTTCTTTTTCTTGTGGTGCTTTTTGGAAGGTGGGAAAAAGGTTAGAAAGACAGGCAAAATAACAAAACAGTGCAGAAGTGTGCAACTGCCGGCAAGCAGCAAGCATTTGAACAGTGTGAAGGTCAAGTTTGAAGGCACAAAGAGAAGGGGGACCAACCCAATAAGAAAAGAAGAAATGTTCTGCAAAATGGGTGTCCCATGCTCTTGGAGGGAGTTCTTTATACACTGAGTTCGGGTGTGCTCAGTCGCTAGTACAAATGTATAAAGCAGGGGTGCACAGTGATCTATGGCAAAATTCAAAGTGTAGATAAGGCACAGTATAGAAATGCAATCCATGTCTACATTCCATAAGGTCATCAAGCCAAGGACACCCAGTTCTATTGAGGTGACACTGAGAATTAACCAGAAATTTCCTAGAGGGTGGATAACCAGGAAAAAGGTCAGTATTAACACCAGCAGGATGCCAAAACCAGAAATCAAGACAGGCATAGTTACTGATAAACCATAGTGATCCATGAAAACAAAGGTAGGATTGAACACAATGAACTTGATGCTCTGTATAAGAGAGAGTGGTCTCAGCTTCTCCAACAATTCCACTGCCTCCCTCTGTGTGTTTTCACTAGTCCTGGCCACCAGGTACAAACGAGAAGCAATAATGTTGTTCTCGTCTCCAGCTTTGGAGAAAATGATGTCATTTTTGAAATGTTGAAATTCTGGCTTTTTTAAAAAGGAGCTCTGGAGGATACTGATAAAGTCACTTTTGTTGGTTGCACTGATGTTACCCACTCGAAGGTACTGGTAATACTGTTCAATCCAGGACACTGTGTTGAACCCCTGGCTCAGTGTTTTTAGGTCTTCTTGCACAGTGCCATTCCAGTACTCCAGAGGTTCATAAATATAGAAGCCTATCACTGGGCTGTAGTTGCTGAAATACTTTTGCTGTATGAGGGCATAGGATACACTTGGAGACTCACTGGCAAGAAGGTTGATAATATTGGCTCCATCGTTAATCTGTAAGCACCCCATAAAGGAGAAAGAGGCATAGATGAGATACAGTATCACCACAAATGGTTTGACATAGATGTTGGTAATCCACTCATTGTAATGCTCTCGGAGGAAATGCTGGATAAAGTGATGCTGGTACGGGTTGGTCTCATGATGAGAAGTGTGTTGATGGCCATCGTTCATCATGGTCTGGAACCACACAGGTTTCCGGTCCAGGTATTCTGCTGAAGGGATTTTACAGCAGAAGATGCTGTGATAACGATTCTGCTCCAACTGGCCAGCAAAGACCAGGCAGGAGCCGAAGAAGGAGAAGATATAGAAATAGTTTAACAGGATCGAGACACACATGTTCTGGCAAAAGACTTTTACAGCTTCAATGTTGGTGAAAGGGCTTGCACCCATGCCGAAGGCTATAAAATACAAGGAGCTTGTCATTGTATAGGAGACCATAACATCTGAGTAGGCATCCGCTACTCTGTCCTTGAATGGCAGATTCTCTCTGGTTCGGCGCCATCCTGAAAGAAGTTCAAATACTCCTTTGGTTCCATGACCTGAAATGAGAAAGCAAAGCATATACATGTGCACAGATAAAGGAGGTTGAATTTTTCATCCTCCAGCAGTCAAAAAAAAAAAAAAAAAAAAAAAAAGTCAGCTAAGTTTTTAAGTTTTGTTATGATTTTGTCAGCATTAAAACAAATGAGAAATTGTGATGTGTCTGTGTAAAGCTAAATACCAGAAATAATATGCGGATATTTAGATGAACAGTCTGATATTCTGAGACTTTAAATGCTTATCATCCCTGCAATAAAATGGTGGAATATCATTTGAAAGGCACCCATTGATTTTAATGAACAATTCCCAAATGTACTGTCTATATAAGAAAAAGGAAAACATTAAATTTACTTTAAGTTCAGGGTTCTCAAAATTCTTTGTGGCAACTTACTACATCTTTCAGGGTTTAAGGGATTCATTTTGAAACACTTACTAATAAAAATAACAACGTTTTCTTCCAGAAAATTGAAATTAATGGTATTATTGGAGAAATAAATTGGTTTGACCAAGAGACACCTTGGTTCTTAATGCCTAACGAAGGAAAAAATATACTGCCATCAAACAACCAGATGAATTTGTATGATGGTTCTCTACCTTCTAACTAAAACAGGTACTTCTCAGTGATTGTGTACAAATTTCCACACTATACTAAAGCTGACACGTTGGTGATAATGATGGAGAGTACAGGATTGGATAGATCCTTGGTTCACACTAATTGTCTGGAAAATTTATGTTTTCTTCATGATTATCTCCCTCTCTCTCCTTCTCTCTCAGCTCCTCCTGGCGAGAAGGAATTCCTTTAGTTCACATAAGCAGACATTCAAGAAAGAGACAGAGGCAAACAGTGCTCCAGAGGTTCTTATTTTATATTAAATAATTCTGAGAACTATTTTAGACATATATATATATATATATATATTTTTTTTTTCTCTACTGGAAATGGAAGCTTAAGGTAGATTTCCTGTCATTTTACACATCATAGCCACAGTCCAGAAAATCTACAGCAATTAAGCTTTGAGACAGAATGAAAAAGTTGAAGCTAAGCTTACTGGAAAAATTTTAACCCGTAAAAGATATTTATTATATACGTATATATATTCACATAATATGTGGATTATATATATTTGTTATATATCTAATATATGTATATCATATATACATTAGATATGTATTCTTCTGGTATACATGTATATAATGTATACTATATATATATCATATGCCTATTATATGTATATTATAATTTATATTTATATTATTCTATTTACCAGTAAATAATTTAATTTTGGGAGGAAAACATAAGATTAAAAAAAAACAAAAACAAAAACAAAAACAAACAAAACAAAACAAACAAAAAAAAAACATAGCTAAAAGGGATTGACTATCAAACAAGTTTTTTTTTTTTTTTCAAAAATTAAAAACACATTTTAATGACAAAGAGGAAAGTTCTCTGCACTTTGGATAAAACCCCGGTAAAATTCTGAACAAGATAAATAAACACCTTATTGAGCAGAGAAAGAAGTAGAAGGAGATTGCAGGTATTTCTTTCTCTGCTCTCTGCAGTGGAACTGCATGCAACAAAGCAGGAGCTAATTTTCTTGTAACTAAACCAGAAATGTGACCACGAGATTTGCAAATAATGAAGTGTGTAATAGTAAACAAAAAGTCTGTTGAGTTTTTTTTTGTGTTTTTTTTTTTTTTTTTTCTCTTTAATTTTTTTGGATTTATACAGCTGCTTATGTTGCCCAAAACAGACTCCTGACAGCCATTCTAGACAGGGTAGATTACAATATAAACTGACAAGTTCTTTGAACGTTACCTTTTTACTGCAAATCAGTATCCCCAGTGAAAGATAAATATACAGTAGTACAGAAATCTTGCAGTTAGTAAAAAGCCTGTGTGGCAATACTGCTATCTTATGAATCAGTAACTTGGTTCAGGAGGGACCTTGGAGTCCCTGGTAAGTTTAGGGTGAGTCAGTTCAAATTCCCAAAGCACAGCTGTCTTGTACACTGTCACATTTGGACTGTCAAGCAGAAAGTATCATCTCTTTGGGCTGAGAAAAGCTGCAGAATCAAATGACTTGGCTGTGATTTTATATTGTGCTTAAAGTATGAGTGTAAGTACCCTGCAGTGTGTGGACCAGGCTGGAAGGTCATCACTTCCAGTGCCCATGGCCTGGCATGGTTTAATATACTGCTATAGGAGCTGTGTGTTATTCTCTTTTGGGAAGAGTAGATTTTCCTCATGTCTGTGCTCACCCCATCTAATGACTGATTTTGAAATCCAGACATTTCTGATGAAGACATTATGTCTTAAAATTTGTTCATATCCCATATGTTCGTATCCCATATTATCTCTCTCTTTCAGAACCAACTTCTTGCCCCTTCTCTTCCGGTTTTAGGAATGCCTCTTTTCTCTCTCTTTATTTTCTTCTGTTATGAGGAATACCAAGGGGGTGAATAGCAGCACAGGATTTCTACTCCTACTGCTGCTATCTTTCCTCCTACCTCCCTAACCCATCAAGTCTCTTCCACTGGGGGCAAGAAGGATCATACTGAGGAGAGATGCTTATTTCTACCTCTGAGTTCCCCCTCATACTCCTATTCTTCCATGTGCCCAGGTCTGATCTAAGACTAAGGGAAACCATGGTCCATAGAGCTTACATCTTGAACCCTCATTTAGGGTCTAGCTGAGACTCTGATAATGTCTTTCTTCTGTTCTCTAACATGACAGTAGCCACACTGGGTCAAGCCAAAAGTTGCTCTTCTTCTGTATAATTGATGTTACGAAGTATGGGGACAGATTTATTTATTTATTTATTTATTTAAAGATGCTGGAAACAAGGCAGATATAGAATATTTTTTTCCATTTCAGCTCTGAGAGTCTGGCATTCAACCAAAAGGTCTGCCAAAACCAGAGGCTGTATTTGCAATGTCATGTTTGGAGACGTTGAGGGACATTTATTCATCCATCAAATCAAATTTTAAATTCACTCATACTTTCGGCCATTAAAACTTCCTGCTACAAGAAGCTCCATAACGTTATTACTTTCTGAATGAAAAAAAGACTTTTGTTTGGTTCAAACTGCAAGCCAGTATAATTTTATGGCTGAACTAAGCAAAATGTAAAATTGTTGTTCCATGAGCAATGGCTTTAATCAAACCTCATCAAACCTCCTGTCCAAAGGATGTGTTCTTTTTCCTGGAGTCACCCATGTTAACATTCCCAGCATCCTTCCTCCTTCTGACACCTCTCCTTGACCACATGTCCACAGGTATGCGTGTGCTCCCTGGGTGGCTGTCCAAGATACTTGTTCTAAATTGCCATCTGTATGTACCAAATACAATATAAAATACCTGAGTTCTGCCTTCTACTCCTTGAGGAGATACTAATCTGGGACATTTTCCTTTTTCTAAAATTCAGTTTTTACAAAGCTTCTATGATTGCAATAGTTTATGAGATCTCTATACTTCTGTAGGCCACAATAAGGGCCTTCTGAAATGGATTCATGATTTGCAGGGTATTGTTATATGTATGGAGGCAATAACTAAGGGTGCCTTCTGTAAGGAATCAGAGCTAAAAGCAACTGTAAAGCCAAATTAAAAAATAAAAATTAAAAATTGAAAATGTTAAAACAGATACTATGGATCATTTTAATGTCTTTAGTTTGTAAATTTATCAGAAGTCCTTTCACCAAAACAATTAGATCTATGATGAACTGGCACTTTTCAAAGAAGCTTTAAGTGAAGGAATGCTCTACCAGCTCTATCAAAAATTTACAGTTCTATTGATTTTTCTCTGCTTTATCCAAGATCTCACTTCTCTACCCACCTGAAAGATTATGTTCACAGTAGCATCTTTACCATGTTTTTGTAGTAATACATACCTACTTTTTTTTCCCCAGTGATATGTACCCACTTTTATGGTCTTATGTGTTATGTTTGTGAAACGCATGCGTACAAAAAGACTACCCAAGTGTACATAATAGTATGTAAGCACTAACTTGTGTTATACTCAAAATTTAAATACTCTAATTAAATTCATGAGTTTTTGTTGTTGTTGTTTATTTTGGTCTTGTTTGTTTTTCTAATAGAGCAAATAATGTCTTAAGTGAAAACTGACACTAATTTTCTTATGATTATCATTGCATGAATTTAAAACTTATGGATAACCTAAACTTCATCTGTTTCACACAGATACAGGAATTGGAGAATAATTCCTGTAATTCCCTTGCTGCCAATAGAAGAAATCTTTCCTTGATTGGTTTTCCCACATCATTACTCTGATACCAAGTTTTCCAGTCAGCCTCTGTTCTTCTCCCTAAATAAGCAGGTCTATTGCCCTTTCCCACAATGGATACAAATCCATTTTTTTCTGAACTGGACAGAAACCAATATTTTCCTGACATTTCTGATGATTCAGACACCACAGTCTGTGAAATTCTATCCCTTCAGCTCCATCACTAATGTCACTGATAAAATTGACAATGGAGTTAAGTTCACTGAGCAGTTCTAGGAAGGTTTGCAAGGTCTTTGGCTTTGGGTCAAAACTGTCAAGTTTCTCTGGTGTTAACATGACATGAATGAAGTACAGCAATTTTTTATTTGCTAGACAAGCAACAGTCTATGACTACTTAAGAAGAGAGAAGACAACAGATAGTATAAATCCATTATTTGTGAGGTTAGGAGAGCAAATAGGGGAGGCTGTAGAGAAAATAGAAGCGTATAAAGCTTTTGCTGCCTCAATTTTCAAAACAAAAGGTTAATTTTTACAAGATATTTACCATCAGTTTGAAGAGGATAGGGATAGAAACCACAAGAGTGAAATAACATTGAAGAACACTTGATTCTATTAAATTTATTTAAGCTGGAAGAATATGTAGAAATTAATCAATTAGAAGCTGAGCCAAACCAATCTCTGAGCTATTAGCAGTCACCTTAGAGAATGAATGTTAATGGAAGGATCGAAGAAGAATGGAAAGTACTTATATCTACAGTAC